TGCCTTTTAAAGATTTCACAATCATCTATGTTTTGAGCAAATAATTAAATGATGGTTACTTTCTCCCATCCATTTGAAAATTATATTCATTTTTTCCTTCTAACAAAGTTATTCAAGAAAGAATTAAGAAGCATTTTGATAAACAAAAAAACAAGATGAAAGTAATTATTTAAAATGTTAAAAGAGTGCTCTGGCAGGGGTCAGACTCAATCCAGGGATGTATATAGCATTGAACTAAAAAGAAGGGGGGGAAAGAGTATGTGGACAGTGGGGGAACAGGGCACTAACACCCACAGGGAGGATACCGTTTATGTCTCCACAGGAAAGTGAGAGAGGGACCAGACCTCAACCTGATCCACCAAGCCTTGAGGGCAACATACCAGCATAAAGCAGCAAAGAACAGTGAGGTCTTCAGGACCCGCCCCAATCACAGCTACATAGAACCCTTCCCCAGAAGATTGCACTACAGAGGACAGCACTGAAGATACAGCCTGGGGACAATGGTGGGTCTGCACAGACCACAAGGGAGCAAACTAAGTGGAAGGGAGAGAGAGAGAAAATTGCATCCCGGCCTACCAAGATTCAAGGAAGACATTCCTGCTTGTAGCAGCCAATGCACAGAGAGGACAGTAGGGCCGACCCCACCAGGAGAAATGATGTCCCTTGCTGACCCAAATCACGATGGGGGACAGAAATGGAGACACAGTGGGGGAATTCTACCCAGTCTGACACACACCGGTGGGTAACAAGGGAGCGCAACAAAGCAGCAAGGGGAGCAAAGCAACAAAGTCCCCCAAAAAAAACTTCGGACTGTGGGGAGAGCACCTCATCAGACCAGATCAGATAATATACCTAAGGGTCAGCAGGCAGACCTGGAACTATTTATAGGCTTTTGTTGTTGTTGCTGTTGTTTTCTTTTGATCTCTTTTTCTTCATGTCTATATAAGACAGGCAGGATAAATAAGACCAAGGAGAAAACAAGGGACCAACAGTTCCAGGGGTACAGAGGAAAGGAGGAGGACGGGGAAAGGGAGCGGGTTGACAACAAATCCAGGGACAAGAGGTCTAAAGTCGCTGGTGAGGAGGGGTAGAATGCCTGGTGGGGTTTGATCAAATGCAATGTAGCTGAGAAGAAGTACTGAGAGTCGAATAATGGTCGAACATGATAATGGAGCAGGAGGAAAGTGAAAAATAGAGGAAAACTAGGTGGCAGAAAACGCTTATAGCGGTATAAATATAGGGATGTACATATGTAAATATATTAATAAAGATGATAGGGATATAGCTCTATGTACATATATTATAAGTATTAAAGTAGCAGACAGACATTGGGCCTCTACTCAAGTACTCCCTCAATGCAATAACACTTTGTTTTAATAACCTGGCATTCTGTGATGCTCACCTTACCAACGTGATCGCTGAAGTCAAAATGGTGCATAAGAAAATGTGAAGAAAGGTGATGATGCCTGGCTATTAAAAGATATAGCATCTGGAGTTTAAAAATTTGTAGTGAAACATGTGGCTATCTAGCAGGGAAGCAACAAAGCCCATATGAAAGAAGCACACCAACCTGTGTGATCACAAGGTGTCCACGGGATCAGCTATCAGGCATCAGAAGACCCAAAACAAACACCCATATTGATGCAAACTAAAGGGACCAGAGTAGAGTTCCAAAGCCCATCTGTAGACAATTGGACATCCCCTCACAGAAGGGTCACAAGGAAGGAACAAGTTGGCAAGGATGTAATATACCACCAACGAAACACACAACATTCCTCTAGTTTTTAATGCTTCGTTCCCCCTACTATCATGACCCCAGTTCTACCTTACCACTAGACCAGAGCATGTACACTTGTACAGAAAAGCACTCTCAACACACAGAATCCAGGACAGATAAACCCTTCATGAACAGTAAAGGTAGTACCAATACCATGAGGGTAGGGTGAAAATGGGAGGAGAAAGGGGGAACTGATTGCAATGATTGATGTATAACACATACACACACACACACACATACACACACCCCCCGAAGGGATGAACAACAGAAACGTGGGTGAATGGAGACGTGTGGTGTAAGATATGAAAATAATAATAATTTTTAATTTATGAAGGGATCTCGAGAGTGCGAGGGTAGGAGAGGGAGGGGGAAAAGCACATGGAAGAAGCACATCAGCCTGCATGGTCACGAGGTGCCAAAGGGATCAGTTATCAGG